AGGGCCGTCTTGGAGGCCATCTTGGGCGTCTGGGAGGCCATCTTGGGCGTGTTGGAGGCCTCTTGGGCCCTCTTGGGGCCCTCTAGGGGCCATCTTGGAGGCCACTTGGGCCATCATGGGGCTCTCTTGGGGGCCTCTTGGGCGATCTTGGGGGCTTCTTGGGCCGTCTCGAGCCGTCGGAGAGCCGAAAAGGCGCAAATGCCAGAATCCTTCAAAAACCAAGGAAAAATCAATGATTTTGGCCTCTTCGGACTCTCCTGGAGGACCTCTTGGAGGCCTCTTGGGCCGTCTGGGAGGCCTCTGGGGGGCCTCTTGGGCCGTCTTGGGCCGTCTTGGACTCTCTTGGGCCGTTTTGGAGGCCGTCTTGGACCATCTCGGGCGGACTTGGAGGCCATCTTGGGCCATCTTCGCGATTTTTTGAGGATGTCCCGAGCGAAACGGCCGTTTTTTGGAGGATTGTTTCCGGTCGTTGAGCACGTTTGGGGGCCTTCCGGGTGGCCGGCGGGTTCTGCCGGAGCCCACTGGGGAGTTCTTTTGGAAAAAGAACCAAAACCAAAATCTGAAACATCCAGCACGCCGTGCACCCCTGCAAGCAGGGGGCGGCGGATCGAATGGCCTTCGGTCCATCCCGCCACCGTGCCTGGGTTGTGAGCATAAAGCCTATTGGATGTTCGTCCGGACCTCGTGGGAGGCCTCTCGGGGGCCTCTTGGAGGCAGTTCGGAAGTCTTGGGGACCGTTTTGGAGCCTCTTGGGGCCTCTGGGGGGTCTTGGGGGGGCCTCCTGGGGGCCCCTTGAGGCGGAAGGCTCGGATTTTCGGTTCGTGTTCTCTCTCTTGGGCGCCTTTGGGGGCCTTCTTGGGCTGTCTTGGGCGCCTCTTGGGCCGTCTTGGGGCGCTCTTAGGTCGTCTTGAGGCCCTCTTGGAGACCTCTTTTGCCATTTTGGGGTGGTCTTGGGGGCTTCTTGGACCGTCTTGGAGCGTCGGGAAGCCGAAACGGCGAGAACGCCAAAATCCTTCAACAACCTACATTTGCCTCTTGGGCGGCCTCTTGGTAATCTCTTGGGGCGTCTTGGAGGCCTCTTGGGCCATTTTGAGGACATCTTGGGGTCTTGGGATGATCTTTCGGCGACTCGAGGCCCTCTTGGCCCGTCTTGGCGGCCGCTTGGAGCCCTCTTGGCCCGTCTTGGGGACCTCTTAGGCCCTTAAAAGTCACGCGGGGAGACGCGGGGGAGCCCAGGGGGACCTCGGAGAGACGCGGCCGCGACGAACCCCAAGAGATTTCGGACATTTGGGTCCGGACCCTTGGTTGTCTCCTCAGAACTGAGGACTGAAGCCCAGAGGATTGGGCAATGGACCTGAGGATACGCCCACTCCGTCTTTCGAGGCACGGTGGCGGATCGGTATTTCTGGGTTTCTCCAACCAGGGTGCATTTCGCTTCACCATCTGGCGCCAGCAGCAACTGGCAGCGCGCACAAGGTGGTGGGGGAGGGGGGAAGGCTTCTTAGAAGACTCTGCAGGGCGCGAGGGGGCCTAAGGGGCCTGTCCCTCTACAGGAGGAATCTTCAAACATAGTAGACAAATCGTCTGGGGACATTTTGTTTAGCATTTCTTGCATATTTTTGCGTACACATTGTTCATTAATTATTCGAGAGTTCTTTGATTTCTGGGGAGCCAAGATCCTTTCATTTCTAATTGTTCTGTCCTGGGCCTCTTCCTGGCAACCAGGGGGCCGGGAACAGGCAGGAACGAGCACAGTTCGAAATGCACGCGATTAGACATCAGTGACGTGTATTGTTTGGGTATGAAACCTTTGCGTGCACTTCGCTTTCGGCACCGCCTGATCCCGGGGCTTTGCTCTCTCTTGGCCGTGACGTGAGGCCCCGCCTTCTTTTTTCCCTCCTCTGTTAATTAAAGCTGTGCGCGGCCCGCTTAGCTTCGACCGGAAGGGGCTCGCTCTCGACCCGCGGATCAAAAAACAAAAATGTTTTGGTATGGAAGATTTTGTCGTCCAAAATCCCCCTGTAGGGGGGCCAGGCCCGACCTGAGCGAAGGCTGGAGGTCGGGGCCTCGCGAGCAGGAGGCCTCGAGAAGCCCGGCGCGCGGGAGGCACGGGGCCCTCCCGTGGGGCCCGCCGGCGGAGCCTCCCGATTGGGGGGCGGCGTCGCTGGCGCTCCGCCCCGGGCAGCGACCCGCGCGAGCAGCGTGCTGAGAGGGGCTCCTGGCATCGCTCGGACGTGTGCATTTTTCCTTCTCGGGGGCGGAAAAGAGGGGGGTGATGACTGGGGGGGGTGGATATCATGGCGTGGGCCATGATATTTCCTCAGATTTCATGGCGCCTCTTCTTATTTCCTTACGTCCCTGGCCCCCCCGCTGGGCCGCGCACATGCCGCCGGTCATGATTTGCACCCCCCCCTCTTGGACACCCCCCTCTTGGCCGCTCCCGACCTTCGGCGAGGACCATCGAGAAGCATCCTTGCTCACGTGGCGAAAAAAACACGTACGACACCGAAAAAAAACCCGGGGAATGGACGTCCGAGCGATGGCCAGGGCTGGGTGCCCCGACCCCCTCGAGCACTGAACAAAAATCGTGACGGGAGGTTTTCCTAATTTTCGGCCTCCGGGGGCCCTCCCCGGGCCCCGGGAGCGTCAGAACACGACTCGGCATGCAAAGCCGGTCATGGGGAAAGGGTCGGGACCTCTGGGGATCGACGTGATGAAAAAGTCATTGCGTCGAGGGTCTGGGGACGGCACGCGCACGGACACACCGGAGGCCGCAGGTGGAGGTCTCTAGCGTTGAGTCGGGCCTCTTCGGGACCATTTTTGGAGCATTTGTTTGCATATCTTGGGGTATGTCTTAAATTCGTCGTCCAAAAACCCCCTGTAGTGGGACATGCCCGACCTGTGCCGAGAGGGGCTGGGGACGGCACGCGCACGGACACACCGGGGGCCGCAGGTGGAAGTCACTAGCGTTTAGTCGGGCCCTCTCCCTCTACAGGGGGAAGATTCAAAAATAGTCAAAAAAAAAGTTGGGGGACGATGTTTGGGTTCTTGTTCGGCTATTTTGGAGCATGTGTCTGGCATGTTTTATGCTTCGCCCAAAATAGACTATGTGGCCGCCGCCCCCCCAGGGGCGACGCGCGCACCGAGAAATCTTATAGTATATGCGTCGTGGCGGGCGCTTTCTGGCCACACCGCTCGAGAAACGAGATACTAGAAGATGGGTATGCTATATGTTCGGGTCGGACGCGCGCCTCCAAGGCGGACATATAGTATTAGTGCGTCCCATGACGGGACGGCGCGCGCACGGACACACCGATGGCTGGAGGTGGAGGCCTCTAGCGGTCGCGATGCGTGTGAGGGGCTGGCTGGGGACCGCGTGCGCCCGCCGCCTCGGGGACCGCAGAGTAGGCAGGGCCCCGAGAACATGCACCACCACGCCGACTCCCCCTCCCTCCTCTGACCCTCCCCTTCCTCTCCGCCTTCCCGGGAGAGGGAGGGGGTGAGGGAGGTTCGGGGGCGGAAAAGAGGGGGGTGATGACTAGGGGGGGGGGGATATCATGGCGTGGGCCATGTTATTTCCCCAGATCTCATGGCGCCTCTTCTTATTTCATTACGCCCCTGGCCCCCCCGCTGGGCCGCGCAGATGCCGCCGGTCATGATTTGCACCCCCCTCTTGGCCGCTCCCGAGAGGTGGTGGCGCTGCACATTCTCGGGCCCCGCAGGCGAGGGCCCTTGGCTGAGCCGGGGCCGTGCGCCGCGAGAGCGGTCTGTCGCAAGGGGCTCCGAGGGGCGCCCGCGCGCACCCCCACTGGAGCCGAGGGCGGACCGCACTGGGGACCGGCGATGCGCGCCAGGGGTTTGCCGACAGGCGCCTGGGGGCCGCACCGGCGCACCTCAGGGGGGCCGCAGGCGGCATTCCTCGTGGAGCGGCGGTCAGTGGGCGGCGGCAGGGCAGCAAGGGCGGCATGGAGGGAAGGCGAGAGGAGGAGTCAGAGTCCCGAATCATCAGGGGTAACTCGGGTCAGGGCTAACTCGGGTTCGTTTTTCGGGAATCCGAACCCGACTTACCCCGGACCCGAGTTACCCCAGATAATTCGGGCGTCCAGAGCCCCGAATCATCAGGGGTAACTCGGGTCAGGGCTAACTCGGGTTTCTTTTTTCGGGAATCCAAACCCGAGTTACCCCGGACCCGAGTTACCCCGGATAACTCGGGCGCCCAAAGGAGAAAGAGGAGCAGGAGGAAGAAGAGGAGGAGGAGGAGGAGGAGAAGGAGACGAAGCCGGAAGCACCGGCGCGCGGTAGGGAGCTCGGCTCGGTCGATGGCGGAGGAGGGGGAGGAGGAGGAGGAGGAGGAGGAGGAGGAGGAGAGGAGGAGGAGGAGGAGGAGGAGGAGGGGGAGGAGGAGGAGGAGGAGGAGGAGGGATGAGGAGGAGGAGGAGGAGGAGAGGGAGGAGTGGGCGGGCGCCAGCGCGCGCTCGCGTGTGCTCGCTTCCGTACGCGTGCACGCGGGCGAGGAAGATGGAACCCAGAAGAAGCACAGGACTGCATAAACGATGCAGAATACTGGGAGGAGGGAGGAGCAGAGACATCTCCCCCAAACCGGCCCCGACACATCCGCGTGCTTGTTGACCTCTAGGCGGCAGCACTAGTCCATGGACTGGGCCAGTCAGTGGAGCACGGTGCTAGTGCGATGTCTTGCTGGGCGGGCTCGGCTGCGCTGGTTGAGGCCGAAGCCCGGTCGCCCGCGCCCGGCATGGAAGCGCATTGGTGAGCCTCGCGCCGTTTGTTGACGGAGCGCTCCCGTGTGACAAACACGCGCTGCCGAAAAAGTCTTCGTTTTTTATTCGTTGTTTTGCCGATCGGCGCGGGCCCTCGCACCCCCCCCCTCCCCCCCCATGGAGCAGATCCTGGCTGTGTTGGGCGACTGTTTCGAACAGGTGGAGCCTCCCCCAGAGGACGCACTGCTGCAAACAGCCGCGCTAAGCAGAGGTCCGTAGCCAGACCCCCCCCTTCTCCCCCCCCCTTTTCGCCCAATGTCGAAACGTCGAATAAAAAGACACTCACAAACTCGCACCGTGGGTTGATGGAAGGTTGTCCCTCGTAAGAGTTGGGTGTTGTGGCGCACGCCGTGGGGTGCCAGAGCGTTGCCCCTTGCAGCATTTGGGTGATGGAGCGCACCTTTGTTTGCAGCCTGAGCTGCCCAGAGCGCTTTCTCTCGTAAAGATGAGGCGCTTGAGCGACACGCTGTTCGGGGCTCTACGGTCGGGAGTTTCTGGATAGCGCGTCGCTCCACTGGTTCCGGACCATCACGCTGCGGTCTGACACGCTATACATTTCCGGGTCCCGACGCGTCCACGTCCCAAGTTTCCCTTGGCATCCCGCCCCGCTGAGTGGAGCCAATGACACGCTATCCGCTCGCAGGGGACAGCGCGTCGCCGGAGCCGCCGCGGCGACACGCTGAGCAACAAATCCCAACCGTGAAGGATGCGGCTGATGGGGCGGGGTTGGGGATTAAGCTCGCGCCTCGTTCTCAAACGGGGCCACGTTGCTTGCACGCCTCCTCCTCCTCCTCCTCCTCCTCCTCCTCCTCCTCCTCCCTCTGCCACACGTGTCGCAGCGCCTCGTGCGTGTGTGCTGCGTGTGCTCGCCCCATCTCGCCCCTCGACCCTTTTCCCCTCGCGCCCCTGCGCGAGTGACCCGGTCGATCCCTACGGGCGGATTCCTGGTCCCCCCGCGGCATGAGCTGGCCTTGCCGCGCCCTTGCTCCTCTCGACTGTCTACGCCGCCGCCGCGCGAGTGGCCGCAACGCCACAAAGTGTTGGTGTGTCTGTGTGGGTGGATGCAGGCGAGTGGGTGTGCGCGTGTCCGCGTGCGCGCGCACGGGCGAGGAGGATGGAACCCGCAGGAGAAGCAGGAGGCGAGAAGCGGTGATGGATAGCAGTAGGAGGGAGGAGTCAAACACGTTTTCTCCAGACCGCCCCCGATACACCAGCATGCGCGTTGTAAATCTCACCAGGAGTTCCATCTCACTGGCTGTAGGGGGATTTTCGAGGAAAAACAACCTGAAAATACCCCAACATGGTCAAAAGATACTCCAAAAATAGTCCCCAGACGATTTTAGGGGACTATTTTTTTACGAGTTTTGGGGATATTTCCTACTTTCGTCGAAAATCCCCCTGCAGGGAGCACGCCTGCCCCCTGCCCTTTGGGGACTTTTGGGGCAGGGGTCCCCGTCCCCGGACCTCCGGCGAGCCGCCCCTCTGGTCGGGCCGCCATGGCCCAGGAGAGAGAGAGGGGAGAGGGCGGAGAAGGCGGAGAAGAAGGAGGCAGGAGGGAAGGGTGCGAGAGGGGGGATGGAAACAGGAGGAGCAGCAAGAGGAGGAGGAGGAGGGTGGATGCGGGATGCGGAAGAGGAGGAGGAGGAGGAGGAAGTGGAGGAGGCGGAGGAGAAGAAGGGTAGTTAATAATGAGAAGGAGAAGGAGGAGGAGGAGGAGGAGGAGGAGGAGGGAGAAGGAGAGAAGAGGGAGAAGGGATGGATGGAGGGAGGGAGGGAGGGAGGGAGGGAGGGAGGGAGGAAGGGAGGAGGAGGAGGAGGAGGAGGAGGAGGAGGAGGAAAGAGGAGGAGGAGGAGGAAAGAGGAGGAGGAGGAGGATGAAGAGGAGGAGGAGGCGGAGGAAGAGAAGCCAGGGAAGGAAGGACGACCAGCGGCAGCAGGAGGGTGAAGGCGGGAGGAACCAGAAGAGCAGGAGGAAGAGCAGCAGGAGGAGGAGGAGGAGCAGGAGGAAGAGCGGGGGTGCGGCAGGAGGTGCGCAGGGGCCTCGAGGGGGACGCGGGCGGGGCACCCGCCGGTGCCTCGAGCCTCCCTGGGCCCGTCAGGACAAGCACGGCCTGAGCCCGACGGACGCGCTCATGCGCCGGGTGGGCGAGGTGTCCGGCGCGGTGCCGGACAGGCCCTCGGTGCGGGCGCTGGGCCCAGAGGCGGGCGCCGCGCAGAGGGGAGGTACCCAGACCCCCCTCGCGCCGGGGAGAGAACACGACGGACGGTTTCTTGCCGTCGTTGGCCTCTGGGGGCCCGCGCCGGGCCCCGGGGCCGTGGGCACGCGACGCAGGATGAGAGGCAGAGCCCGGGGAGCGGGTCGGGAATCCGGGGGGTCGACGCTGTGCAGACGCAGTGACGTCGGAGTCTGGGTATGTCGCCGCCGCCGCCGCCGTCATCGATCGCCGCTGTCTTCCTTGTTTTCGTCCTCCTCCTCCTCCTCCTCCTCCTCCTCCTCCTCCTCCCCCTCCTCCCCCTCCTCCCCCTCCTCCATCTCCCCATCATCCCTCCTCCTCGTCTTCCTCCTCCTCGTCTTCCTCCTCCTCGTCTTCCTCCTCCTCGTCTTCTTCCCTCGTCCTCCTCCTCCTTCTCCTCCTTCTCCATCATTCTTCCCTGTCGCGCCCCCAGGCGTGTCTGCACGACGGGCAGCACGTTTCACCGAGTTTTCCTCAAAATGATCTTGAATGGTGAACATTCCCCACGCAGTGCTAGCACTTAGGGGCTCATATTTCGGGAATGTGGAACTGGGCCCTTTTCGTCGGTCGAGGCGGCTATGTGGCCGCCGTCGCCCCTCCGTCGCCGCCTCGCTGCCGCCCATCGTCTGGGCCTGTGCGTCGGTCTGGTGGCTATGGGGCCGCCGGCGCCGCCTCGGTCGCCGCCCCTTCGCCGCCTCGTCGCCGCACATCGTCCGGGCCTGTGCGTCGGCGTGGCGGCTCTGAGGCCGCCGTCGCCGTCCCGTCGCCGCCTATCGACTAGGCATGTGCGTCGGTCGGGCGGCCATGTGGCCGCCGTCGTCGCCCCGTCACCTCCGCGTCGCCGCCCATCGTCTGGGCCTGTGCGTCGGTCTGGCGGCTATTGAGCCGCCGTCGCCGCCTCGTTGCCGCCGCGCTTTGCATTGCTTTGCGTTGCATTGCGTAGCACCATATAGATTGTACCGCATATGTTGCGTCACGTTCATTCATCAGCACCATCGATTCTCCTCTCTAAGAGAGTATAAGGATCCCCCCCGCACAGAGTTAACGAGTCTCGCTTTCGTATTGCGATGTACATTTGATTCTGCCCCATCGTCCATCCTACACATGAATTTGTACCATCCCAGGCAGGCCGGTATCGTCACCCCCGTTTTCAACCTCTGCAGAAGATACTATGCGCGCTTTCGCTTATCAAAACAAACAGTTGTCCCAAGTTCTTGGCAACAGATGGGACAAAGTGCACACGCGAGCGTCATCGCGCGCGTATGCCGAAATCCTTCCAAAGCCTCAGGTATCGTAAGGATTTCAATGAAAATCGAATGCCCCGAGAACATCTCAGAACAAATGGTTTCGCAGCCAGACTTTTCAACGAAAAAGCTTGCGTTCGGGCTCTTGCGAATTGTCACAACTTGCTACCAAAATGCTTCGCGCCGTCATGCGCGCAGGTGGAAATCCACTCAACACCCTAATGTTCGTAATGATTTCAAAATCGAGTGTCCCGAACTTTAAAAACAACACAGTGTTTGGCAACATCAATTTCAAACATGCCTGCGCTCGCGCTCATGCGAATTCTTAGGACAACAAAAGACAATAGGTGTATCAGCATGTTGATTACATTCGGCCAAACGGGCGCCTCGGGCCGCACGCCGAAATCATTCGGACGCCCTTGCGCGCGTGTGGGGGGGGTGGGGGGGGCACGATCCGTGCCAAATAATACCACGCGGGCCATTCCAAAGCGTCGGCTGCGCGCGCATGTCGAACTCCCTCCAAGACCTTCATTACCGACGCGAGGGCTCCGTCATCGTCGTCGGCGTGATCAGAATCGGCGCCGTCATTGGCTTTGCCGTCGTCGTTGTCAGCATCCCTTCCAGCATTGCTAGTATCATCGTCAACATCATCACCATCATCATCATCAGCATCATCATTGCGTCTACCGTTGTCGACGTTGCCATGGGATTGCGCCCGCCCAAATCGCCGACCCGCACTGAAGTGCCTGCTGGGAAATGCCCAATTGCGCGAGCGATTAAGTGGACAACTCATTGCGAGCAGAGACCAATCGCACCACATATATTGTTCCACGGATGGTACCACATACATTGAATCACGCAGGTTAGTTAGTCCACGCACACGGCACAACACTTGTTGACTCACAGATGCAAGTTAACACCGACCCAAATCATTGAGCTTCTGGCAAATATATGTTGCAATATCTGTAAAACAACATGCGTAGTACAATATAGTCTATGTTATGCATGGTATGTTGTGCAACCTTGGTTTTGCGTGTCAAGAAGTGCGATGTAGGAATTGCAATATATGTGGTGCAGCATATGGGGAGCATACTATGTTGCGCAACATCTGTGGTGCAGCCCTTATTGTGCAACGTATTGTGTGCGATAATTGGTGTGTAACCCATGTTGTGTAATATTGTGGTGCGGTCTATGTGGTCCCACCCGATGAGAAGTAATAGTTGATATGGTTGGCAGCTAAGCTGTGCAATCTATGTTGACCACTCTTCGTGGTCCATCCCAGGCGTTTCAACCCATCTTGTTCATAAATATATACACACTTATTGATGGTGCGATGGCTGAAAGACAACATGGTGGAGCAAACTTTGCGAACGAATCTACGTGGACCAGTTTATTTGGTGCAGCCTAGGTTGTGCAATATATGGTGTGCCACCTATGTTGCGCAATCTCCTTTGTGCAATCTATTTGGCGCAATCCAGGTGGTGCAACTGTTGCTGTGCAATCTATGTTTTGCGACCTATGCGGTGCGCAATCGACGTTGTGCAAGCCATGTTGTCACACACATGTATATGTGTATATATATATATACATACAAATGTACACATATTTATACATGTTGTGCAATCTATCTTATGCAACATACGTTCGCAATCTATGTGGGGCGGCGACGGGGCGGCGACGGCGGCAACAAGCGCAGCGACCAACATGCATGCCCAGACGGCGGGCGGCGAGGGGCCGGCGACGGCGGCAACAAGCGCGCGACCGACAGACAGGCCCAGACGACAGGCGGCGACGAGGTGGCGACGGGGTGGCGACGGCGGCAACAAGCGTGGCGACCGACAGACGGGCCCAGACGAAAGGCGGCGACGAGGCGGCGAAGGGGCTGCGACGGTGGCAGCACAGCAACCAGACCAGCATACATATTTATTGTTCGAAGAACTCCTAAGTGTAAGTGCCTGTGTGGGGATGATTGCGCTACACGGGTTGCAGCACATAGATTGCACACTATAAAGTGGACCACAACAGATCGCACTATATATATATATATATACATATATATATATTGTACGATCTATTCACGTGTATACACGTGTTTTATTTGTATATATGTAGATGTACACGTACATATACATACACAAGGCTGCAGTGGCGCTTCGCGCCATGCACCTTGGTCCTTGAAGTTTGGTATGCAGGCGAAATAGCAGGAAGGTCAAGCCGACAATTCAGCGATAACTCCTTGTTGCCTTTTTCTGGCATCGCCGCTATAATAATGTTATTCGTGATCCTTCCTCCATGCTTCTTTTTTTTTCATTTTCGCCATACCCTGCGCATTCCCTCCATCCTTCTCCGCTCTTTTTTGCGGAGGCTCCTCCTTGGAGAGCCTCTTGGGGCCTCAAAAAAGTTGTTTCAGGCTTTCTCAAGGCCTTCTGGAGGCCTCCTGGGCGTATTCTGGGGGCCTCTGGGGGCTTCCTCGGGCCACCCTGCCTCCAACCGTGGTCTCCCTGAACGACCGGGTCACGATTTGGAATGCTTCGGAGGGTGTTTTGGGGCCATCTTGTGCCGCCATGGGGCTCTGTGAGGGCCATCTTGGACCCGTGTTGTGCCGATTTGGGGCTCTCTTGGTCTGCCTGGAAGCCTCTCGGATGGTTGTGGGGCGATTTTGGAGCCTCCCAGGCGGCTTCGGACGCCCAGAATATCGCTGTCTTGGAGCGTCGGGAAGCCGAAACGAGGAGAACCCCCAAATTCACCAGAAACCAACAGAAAATCAATGAGTGTTGCCTCTTGGGGCATTCTTGGGAGTGCTCTTGGAGGCCTCCTTGGGGCCGTCCTGGAGGCCTCTTGGGCCATCTTGTGGTCACGTCGGTCACTCTTGGAGCGCTCTTGTGCTGTCTTGGGGGTCTCTGGGACGTCTCCGATGACCCCCCTGATCGCCCTAGGTGTGCTGGGAAGGCTTGGCAAAACGCCCTGCGAGGCCCGGGGGGCCGCTTCGAGGCCCGTCAGGAGGGTCCCAAAGCCTCAGATCCCGGCAGTCCGGTTTTGTTTTTGGGGGGGTCCCCCCGCCTGGGTTTGTAAAACTATAGGAATATGAATGAATCCATACATACATATTATATATATACATATATATATATATATATATATATGTATCGCACCACATGCATTGCCGCACATATTTTCCATAGCATAGGTTGCGCAACACAGATTGCTGGGCACATACAGCTCGCATTCTGCGCTGGCCAACATTGGCATTTGCAACAGTTCGACGGGCGGAAGGCGGGTGGTTTACAAAATGCGTCTCTTGCGTTATCGCCTCGCACATTCGTCCTCAAAGCTTGCAGCTGCTTCACGGATGGAGGGCGGTCGGGTTTCAAAGTGTGGTGTTCGCCCCAGCGTGGCGCACATTCGTCTTGAGAGGTTGCAACAGTTTCACGGATGGAGGGCGGGTGGTCTTCAAGATGTGGTAAGCGATGTTGCGTTGCGCACACTCCTCTTCAAAGTGTGCAACAGATTCGCGGATGGAGGGCCAGCCGTTATCAAAATGTGGTTCTTGAGTTAGCGTTTAGTCAGGTCTGTCCCCCCACAGGACGATTATTTAAACATAGTCAAAAACATAGTACGGGGGCCACTTTCCTAGCATTTCAGTATTTTTGATTACTTTGGGGTGTTTATCACTTTTCTTCCAAACTCCCTCTGTTGGGGGACATGCCCGACCTAACGTTAGCGGAGAGGAGGAGGACCTCAAAAGTCCGCATCAGCTTGAAGGATGGAGGGCGGTTATTTTTCAAAGCGTGGCCTTCGCAGTAGCGTCGCACACCTTCGTACTACAACTTTCCAACCGTTTCACAGATCCGTTTCGCTGAAGGTCCCATGAGTGGTGTTCTGGCACGGCTACGGGTTAAGGACTGCCAGGGCGCAACAGATTTCTTGATCCGTTGCGCTGAAGTTCCAGGAATGGTGTTCTGGCAATGTGTGGGATTGTCACGGTGCAGCAGTCAAATTGATCCGCAGTTTTGAAGTCCTAAGACTGGTGATTTGGCGCGACCGGGAATCATCAGATGGTTGTCGTACAATGGAAAATTTCCCACAATGGACACAACACCTTGTGGGGACATATGCACAGGGAACTTGGAGGGAGGTTTCTGCAATATCGTTGATGCGCATTGGGGTTACATTCGACCCCCTCCTCCTCCTCTTCCTCCTTACTCCTCACGGCGAGGTCTGGAAGGCCAGCCTGCAGGGCAGCAGGCGGAAGCAGAGGCAGCGGCGGCGGAGTGGCGTGTCTTCCTTCGCGCGGCCCCCTCGTATTCATGTTCTTGGAGTTCCTGGGGTGGCGTGGGGAGGTGGGGGGCTCTGTCGGGGAAGCGGGCCAATCACGGACAGAGGGGGGAGGGAGGGCGGGAAAGGGAGGAGCAACAGCCGCAGCGGCGGAAGGAGGGCAACGAGGGGGAAGGAGAGCGGGGTGGGGGGGAGCAGCAGCAGGAGGAGCAGGAGGTGGACGCGTAGGATCAGAATCAGCGGGCAGGGACCGAGAGAACGAGCAGCGAGGGCAGGGTGATGATGAGGAGGAGGAGGAGGAGGAGGACGACGACGACGACAGGGTGGGATAGAGGGGGAGGAGGGAGAGGACGACGAGGACGAGGAGGGGCCTAGGCTGAGAGGGAGAGACCTCGGGACCGAAAAGGATACGCAAGCTTCGGCCTGACGCGACAATGAAGAGGATGAGCATCATGACGAGGATGATGCAAGAGGGCGTAAGCAAACCAGGCGCGAAGAAAAACGCCGAGGAGGGGCAGGAGGAGGAGGAGGGGGTGGAGGAGTGCAGAGGGGCGGGATGGAGGATGAGGAGGAGGGGATTTGGGGAGAACGGGGGGAGAGAGCGAGGACGACGATCTGGAGGATGAGGCTGATACGGGCCAGGGCGAGACGTGGAGGAGTTTCCTCGTGGAGGGCGAGGAGGGGCGGGTGGAGGAGGAGGGGCGCTTGTTGTTCTTGGGGAGGCCGTGGCGAGCAGCAGGAGGAGGAGGAGCAGCAAGAACTGTGATAGAACCCCGCCTGTTTCTTATATGGTTTGGTATTCGTCTTCTTATTCGCATGCTTATTATTAGTATTATTCTTCTCATCTTTAATATTATAATCCTTCAGCCGTTGAAGGCATTTACTTGGAAGCATGGTTCGTTATTCCAGCGCTTAACGTTTCGCGTATTCCCCGCCAGACCATCCAAGAACGATGCCCATGGGAGCTACCCTTATCGGAGGAGCGTGGCATGACTTGCACACATCGGAGATCATCAGTGAACGAGCGGCGTTTTGGATGCCTCTCTGAGTCGCGTGAGATGTAGCCTCGGGGGCTCCTGGAGGCACTTTGGGGTCCCTTGGAAGCCTCCTGGGGAGTCTTGAGGGCCTCTTGGGGACCTGTTGGAGGGGCTCTCAGGGGCCACTCGGGAGCGTTTTCGGGGCCTTCGGGGAACCTCTGGAGGGTATCGATCAAAGGACCGGGGGGGGAGATTCGATCTCTTTACAACCAGAACAACCACGTTACAACCAGATGTGTTACTTTACAACCAACATAGGATTGGAACGTATAGTTTTTCATCGAGAACGTCCACTTTGCAACCAGAACGGCCCACTTTACAACCAGAGCGGACCACTTTACATCCAGAACGGGCCACTTTACAACCAGAACGGACCACTTTACAACCAGCTCAGAGTGGCCGTGCGTGTTTGGGCGTTCAGCAAAGTGCTCCAGAGCAAGTGGGCGCTCTGAAAAATGCCCCACAGCAAGTGGGCGCTCTGAAAAATGCTCTAGAGCAAGTGGGCGCTCTCAAAAGTGCTCCAGGGCGCGCGGACGCTCTGAAAAGTGCTCCAGAGCACGTGGGCGCTCTGGAGCCCGAGCGCCTGAACTCTCTGCGCAGGCCCCAGCGATGCCTCTGAACCCGAGCGCCTGAACGCCCTGCGCAGGCCCCAGCGATGCCTCTGAGCCCGAGGACCTGGACGCTCTGCGCAGGCCCCAGCGATGCCTCTGAGCCCGAGGACCTGGACGCTCTGCGCAGGCCCCAGCGATGCCTCTGAGCCCGAGCGCCTGGACGCTCTGAGCAGGCCCCAGCGATAGCTCTGAGCCCGAGCGCCTGGACGCTCTGGCGCTCTGAGCCCAGCAGACTAAGACAGGGCTTGCGAGCAGGGGCCAAGCGGCCTCAACAAGGGCCCCGTGCTCGCACGGGAATAAGGCGACAGCATACGTAGGAAGGTTCAGGGCGACGCGCTGCCCATTTTAGGGATCACTCACAGGAAGCGAGCCCAGTGGCCTCCACAAGGGCCCAGCGCCCCAGGGAACTAGGCCATTGGCACCGCGGGTCTCTTGGGCCACGTTGGCCACTGAAGCCCCACGGTGTTCTGCAAGGGGCTAAGTGCTCCAGCTCCAGTTGGCCCCCTGCTGTTCCTCTTCTTGGAAGATCGAGGTTCAACGTTCCGAATACATGCAACTATTTTGAAGATCGTTCCTTCAGCGTCAGCCACAGTGCCAGCGCAGCAACGCAGGTATCCTGCTCGGGCAGCAGCCTCAGCCACCGTGCCAGCGCAGCAGCTTGAGCCACCGTGACAGCGCATCACCGCCACCTTTGTGCCTGCTACCACCAAACTTACCGCTGCAGCCCCGCTACCTCCACAATTCCGACTGACCCCCCGCTACCACCGCAAATCCCATTGCAGCCCAGCTACCACCACAGTTCCAACCGCTGCCTGGCGACCACCACAGTTGCCACCGCAGCTTCCCAACACCACGTAGTTCTCATTGTAGCCCCCGCTACCACCACATCTCCCACTACAGCTTCCCGCTGCCATGCAGCTCCAGTCTTGGACGGGATCATGGTTTATTCGTATGTCCTGCGCGACTAGCCTTCGTCCGTCAGAAAAAAGAGGCAGAGCAAGCAATGGCAGAACTGACCGACAGAGCTTAGAGAGCAGGTCAAAACCCTAATCCGCCCACCAGCACGCAACATACCATAGCGCACCAGGTCGCCGCATCGCCAACGCGCGCGCATTGCTTCTTCGTGCGCGATGGGCAACTTCACAACCAACATGCCTCAAAGAGCCCAAAGCCACCCTTGCGCTTGCCCACGGAGATTTCAGGGAAAGGCCCGCGTGCATTCAATATGTGTTTGTACTTGCCTGGTTGTAAAGTGCCCTTCCTGGTTGTAAAGTGCCCTTCTCGGATTTTGTAAGCTGGTTGTAAAGTGACCCATCTGGTTGTAAAGTGCGCTTCTGGTTGCAAAGTGACCCACACGCGGGGGGGGGAGGCGTCCCCTAACAGCATCGCTTTTCTAGAGCCTCTTGAACCGCTTCGTGGGCTCTTCTTGGAACGCTGCTGGGGCGTTTGGGGGGCGGGTGGTCTTGGGGCCGTTTGGGAGCCCTCGTATTCCAAATCCCTTATTAATCGACCCCCCCTAAAAAACTGGACCCCCCTCCAAATGCAACCTAATATTCCGGACCCCCCTCTTCGACGGGGCGCCTTAATGATCCGGACCCCCTAAGCTCCAATCCAAAAAAAGCGCCCTAATAAACCGGACCCCCCCAGTTGCAAAACAGGCGCCTTAAAAAACCGGACCCGGGGGACGATTAATAAGGGATTTGGGGTAGGTCCCTCGTGGCTCTCATTTGGGCCTGCTTGGAGCCCGCTCGTGGCTTCGGAAGGCCATCGGACGCGTAACCGCGAGAAGGCAAAACACATGTTTGTTTTCAGGTTGTGGAACTTGTTTGGCTTTTACGAGTATCTGGGTGAGGCCCCAATGCAATTGTGACCCGTTTTGGAACGGTTTGGGCCTTTCTTGGAGCATGTCTAAAACTACCTTGCGCCAGCTTGGGGTAATTTGTTTGTTGCCCCCTTCTGGTCGGTCGGGCAGCGTGAAAATCAAGATGCCTTAAATGCGTCTGCGTTCAGTTTGTAGTTCCCCAAACAGCGCTTGCACTGAGGGCTTTTCCGTTGTCTTCGAAGGAATTGGGCCTCTGGTGGTCCGGCGGCTATGTAGCCCCCGTCGCCGCCTCGTTGCCGCTTCGTCGCCGCCCGTCGTTTGGGCCTGTCTGGCGCGCTGGCCGCCATGTCGCCGCCGTCGCCGCCCCGTCACCGCCCCGTCGCCGCCCCGTCGCCGCCTCGTCGCCGTTCCGTCGTCGCCTCGTCGCCGCGTAGATCGCACCGCCGCATAGATTGCACCGCGTAGATTGCGCAGCATCTATGGCACCACACAGATTGCATCACGTCGATTGCTTCTCATAAATTGCGCACCGCGTAGACATACACCACATAGATTTCACAGCAGATGCTGCACCACATAGATTGCACCACGTCGACTGCACCACATACGTAGGCTGCTCCACATAGATTGCACGACATAGATTTGCACACAACTGCTCCACATAGAGTGCACAACACATACTGCTAGGGCCTAAGCTGGCTACTACTGCAGTCTCCCACGAGCAGTGCGTTCTCCGACGAGTAGTGCATTCTCCCAGTTGCTCTGGGCGCTGGGCTCTCCGCTGCTGGCCCACGGCGCAGGCGCCAGTCGGGGAAAGAACATGCTGCGTCGCTCCCCTGCTTCCCCTCGTGAGGGCCATGCTGAAGTGCAGATGCCTTCCGCAGCAAATGTTGGAAGCCTCGAATACCGTCTTGGTTCCGTCGCCGGCGTCAAGTGGCGCCTGGTCAGCGATGAGATAGCGCCGATGCAGCGTCGATTGGCGTCGGCCAGCGGCGGTCAGCGTCGATTGAGCGCTGACCACCGTCGACTAGCGTCGAGGAGGAGGAGGAGGAGGAGGAGGAGAAAGAGGAGGAGGATGAGGAGGAGAAGGAGGAGGCGGAGGATGAGGGGGAGGAGGAGGAAGAGGAGGACGAGGAGGAGAAGTGGAGGAGGAGGAGGCGGAGGAGAGGGGAGGAGGAGAGGACGAGAAGAGGAGGAGAGAGGAGGAGGCGGAGGATGGGAGGAGGAGGAGGAGGAGGAGGAGGAGGAGGAGGAGGAGGAGGAGTGAGGAGGAGGAGGAGCGAGGAGGGAGGGGAGGAGGAAGAGGAGGAGGCGAGGGGAGGAGGAGGAGGAGGAGGAGGAGGAGGAGGTAGGAGGAGGACGACGAGGAGGAGGAGGAGGACGAGGAGGGGAGGAGGAGAAGGAGGAGGAGGAGGAGGCGGAGGATAGGATGAGGAAGAGGAGGAGGAAGAGGAGCTCTCCCGCGGGCCGAGCCCCGAGGCCGGGCTGCTGCCCTCCTGGTGCCCCCTCGGGAGCTTCCGGCCGCGCGTCCGGAGGACGCCGCGCCGCTGCCCCCGACGCAGCAGTGCCCCAAACCCCAGACCCCCTCGAGCAGTGAAAAAATCATAGGTGGGGGAGGAGGTGGATGGATGAACGAGGAGGAGGAGGAGGAGGAGGAGGAGAGACGGAGGAGGAGGAGGGGAGGAGGAGGAGGAGGAGGAGAGGAGGAGGAGGAGGAGGGAGGAGGAGAGGAGGAGGAGGAGGAGGGAGGAGAGGATGAGGAGGAGGAGGAGGAGGAGGAATGACGGGAGTTTTTTCTGAATTTTCGGCTTCCGGGCGCCCTCACGGGGCCTCGGGAGCGTCAAACAACGGCTCGGGATGCAAAGCCGGTCCCGGGGAAAGAGTCGGGACCTCAGGGGGTCGACGCAGTGAAAAAATCATTACGTCGGGGGTCTGGGATTCGGGCCGAACGAAAAGGGGGGGGGGTAGGGCAAGGGGGGGGTCCGAAATCTGCTGCGTGCAGCTGGCTTCGGCCCCGCCGCTGGGCCCATTCCTCGATGCGTGGGCGCCTCCCGGCGCCGGGAGGCGCTGGGAAAATCAGCCACGCGAGCTGATTCTCTACCCTACCCTTTGCTATCCCCCCCTCTCGTTCCCCCCGACAGTGCCCCAAATGCTTGTTGGGGGGGGGGGGACAATCGAGCGACGGAAAAACGGGGTCGTCTGCGCCGACATTGGCGCGCGAGCTGCTCCGCGCAAGGGCGCGCGCAGGCGCCCTCCAATGCAGCGTACCGCGCAGGCGGCCCGCGCAAGCCGCCGCGTAAGGTCGCTACGTCATCTCGAATAAACCTTTTCCTTTCAGGAAGGAAAAAACACTGACACTATTAATCTTCGATTCCCCGGAAAACATGGGAAAATATGGGAAGTGGGGGGGAGACAAAAACCCAGAATATCTATAATATCGTATAATAGAATATAATATAATATAATAAAATATCATATAATATAATTTACTATAATGTAATATGATATGATATAATATAATATAATATAATATAATATAATATAATATAACATAATAAAATATAATATAATAGAATACAATATAATATTATATAATATAATATAATATGATATAATATAATATAATACCATATAATATGTAGTATAATATAATATAATATAATATGCTATATTATAAATAATTAAAATAATATATATATATATTAATAGAATATAATATATTATATATAATATTAACATATAATATAAAAAAATATAATATACTATACTATAGTGTAATATAATATAATATAATATGATATAATATCATATATTATACGATATTACTTTGCAGGACGGGTGACATACGCGGGACAGTATCCACTTGGCACGCGACATATACGGGATAGAGATCACAAGTATACATATTGGTTTATTGCAAGCCCCGCATCTCGAATACAAGTGGCTTGCGTAAGTGATCTTTGTGTGTGCTTGGGATATATCCTGAACGTATCCTGAACGTATCCTGAACGTATCTTGACGTATCCTGAACGTATCCTGAACGTATCCTGAACGTATCCTGAACGTAACCCGAGCACACTCCGTACATAAAAAACAACATCACTCGACCAAGGCATCAATCTCACGCGTCGCATTCTTGCAATATTTTCTTCTCACCATCCACCCCCTCCCTTCCTCCTCCTCTGCCTCCTTCGCCAGCGTGGGGTGGGGGCGGGCAATGGCGTCGTCGACGGCGAGGCACAGAAGGAGGAGGATGGGAGGAGCCCCCCCCCTCCCCCTCGCACGCCTGGGCCCCTTGCGGGGGAGAGCGGGTGCACGAGGCGCACCGCGCCACAGGCGCCCGGGGAGGGTCGCCATCGCGGCTGCCGACGTCGTCGTCGTCGCCGCCGCCGCCGCGGAGGTCGACGTGACCACGTCCCCGGGACCAGCTTATCATCCCGATTTTTTTGGGGGGGCGGCCCCGCGAGGCCCAGGGCTCCAACGGCGTGTCCTTAAGAGGGTACCTACAAGGAAGAGGGCCAGAAGGATGATGATGAGGAGGGAGAGGAGGATGAGGGTAATATTGATTACGTCCCCCTCCCATTTCTAGTGGCGTTTGTGGCCAAGCCCTTGTCCTAGGTATTATCCTGTTTTTTATTGTTTCATTTTCTGTTTTTGTGTTCGCTTTTGTTATTAGATTAGTTTCGTAACTCCTGTAGAGGGACAGGCCCGACTCAAGGTTTCCTTCTCCTCATCGTCTCTCCTGCCTTCTCCCATCTTGTGCACTTGTGCCAGGGCTGGCTGCAGATGTGACGAACGCGCTCGCAGAACAGCAGCTGCACAACTGATGGAGCGCAAATGAAGCGGCTGAGACAGACGAACGCACTCGAACAGCAGCAGCAGCTGTACAACTGATGGAGCGCACACCTATCGCGGTGGGGCTAGGGTTAGAACAGTGAGGCGATCTGCCGAGGCGAGGCCTTCGGAGCCACCGAGGCGAGGCCTTCGGACACAGCTATC